CATCGTTACTGCACAGTATACCAAAGAAAGCAGTAAATGTAATATCATCATATGAGATAATATACATAAATTCAATAAAACCATTGAATTTGATAATATTAAAACGATAACACAACAACAAAATGGGAAGATTTTGAATATTCTTATAATGTTGATAAATATGGTAAATTGAATAACAATATTAATCAACGAATGAAGTGATATGAATAATGTTATTAATTAACATCATATTAGTTATATAAATATAAATATGAAAGTATTTATATTATTATTAAAAGATAATATTCATAATAGAATTAATATTCATAATGAATCATTTAAAAATAATAAAAATCGGGAAACAAAATAAGCGAAGAAATTATGCATCTAAATAAATTGCTCAATTGAAAATAGTGTAATATATTTTTTGCATAGTGGAATATTCTGTTTTCGGGCAAAATATTTTACATCAATAAAATAATAGTTTTTATTATTTTGCTCCTAAAAAAAAAATAAAAAATAAAAAAGTAAATTAAATACTCATTCTATATTCATTTATATTTGTTTATATTTTATATCATTTTATGGTAAATTGTTCTGAATTATAAATAATTCAGAAATGATATTTGATTCAATGTATGTATACATTTTTATTATTATGTTATTATTATGTTATTTATGTATTTTATTATTATATATTTATATTTTATTATATATTTATTTTTATTATTATATTATATATATCATCATATTATCTATATATTTTATATTTATCATATTTTATTAGTTTTATATTCTTATTATTTATATTTTATTTTATATATTAATATATTTTTATTTATATATAATTTCTTATATATTAATACATTTCTTTATCTTATTTTCATTTTTATATATTTTTATAATTTATATCAATTTTCTTTTTATATTTATTATTATTTTATTTATATTATATTGATTTTATTTATTATTTCTTTTATATATTTTATTTATTATTATATCATTTCTTTTCTCTTATTAATTCTTTATTATTTATTATTATTTATTTAATTTTTATATCTTCTATATATATCATATGAA